GTTGGTGTGTCAGAATCCTTGCTTGTAAAATGTAGCCATACTTTAGAATGCTTAGTTTAAGCAAAATAGATGAATGCAATCATGCGTGTTAAAGAATGGAGTCACTCACCGCATTCGCCGTACTGCGCGCTTTGCCTATAAGCAACAAGAATAAACATCTGACATCGCTGACATCTGTATCCCTCAAAGCTGTTTACAATGAAATATTTAGAGATGGTGTGACACAACATGTATTTTTGGGTGCTTTTGATGCATGCCTTGTTGCTTCTTAAAGGCGTCACACATCGGATGCGACACTCAGAGCCGCGGCATGGCGCACACATGACAGTTGATACACTGTAAAAAATCATTCTGTGGCCTTGTAGATTTCATTTATATTAAAATATTCACTTTGTTTAATAAAATTAATTGACTGATTTTAGGGCATTTTTTTGCTTTGAAATTACTTAAAAATGTCTGTAATCTAATCAATGTTATTATAAGAATTTAGATATTATTTTTGAATAATTTCAAAAAGAAAAAATATTGATTTAATCCAATGTGATTAAAATTAGCTTTTTTAATTTAGCCAGGGGCACAAGTTAGTTTAGCCGAGCAAACGCTGCCCTTGCCGCAAACACGAGGGATGAGCGCCTGTCATGACCTGTTGGCTGGGAGATCAGAGATCTTTTTATTGCACGTGTTCAAAAGCTTATACTCATCAACATGTAATTAGTGTACATAGTATAAATGCGTGTGGGTGAGTTATAACAAAATGCTAATCAATCATATTGTTGTTATTATGTTATTATACAAAAAGGCAATCGATTTCGGGTGGGATCCGACTCACATAAATTACACTTAAAGTGTATTGTTTTAAACAATATTGTTTAATGTTCAGTTGTTTGAAACTGGGCTGTTTTTTATGAAAAAAAAGTCCTTGTTAAAATTATCAAATTGTTTAAATGTACATTTTATTGTGTATTATATGATGTATTGTCTATTATCAGTTTGTTGTTAATTGTTTTGTGGCTCCAGTTTTGCAAAAAATATGAAGAAATATACTTCATCTTGCAATTGCCTACTTTTTACAGCAATTGGTTGCTGCCTGCGGCTTTTTGCTTGGCATGTGCAGGAAGTTGAAATATGGCAAAGCATTCTGATTTCAGCACTCATTTCAGCGCTTTCTCATGACAGACCGAATTTCTGCATTGCATGGGCATTTACACTCAACTTCCATATGAATGACCTGAAATTGTTTGCTGTGCTCCCAACATAACAATGCAAATGCACCATTATGGTACGTTTCCACTACATTGTGAAATCTGCTCTCAGTCCTGCTGGCAATGCTACAACACCACAGCTCCGGGGCTTGTCAGATTTACAGCTGAGCATGCACGTTTTAATCATTGTGGTAGACAGTTTGTTTACAAGTTTATCACACATGCATAGTCACACGTGCAAGAAATACTCAATGCATAGACACAGGCATTCATTCTCCAAGTAGCCTACATGTAAGTGATTTCAGCTGAGTAATCAAAAAACTTCTCATCTTGTCTACTTTTCACAGTGATTGGTTGCTGCCTAGTGTTTTCGCTTGACACACCTTTGGCTGTTCTCAGTGTTTTCTCTGTGCTGCTTTTGATACCATAACACACTGTGAGGGCATTTACACTCAACTTCAACAACTTCAACAAACACTCACTACTGCGATCCCAACTTACCAACGTGCCATTGGATGTCCAATTGCATCAGCCAAGCACCAGGAGCACTGTCCTGTGAAAGAAATTGAATACCTAAAGAATTTTTTTTTTTTTTTAAATGAAATTCAAAAAAGCGATGAAGTTGCACAGTAGGTAGTGCTGTCGGATCACAGCAAGAAGGTTGCTGGTTCGAGCCTTGGCTGGGTCAGTTGGCGTTTCTGTATGGAGTTAGCATGTTCTCCCTTCTGGATTAATAAAGGGACTAAGCCAAAAAGAAATTAAATTAATGAATAAAATTCACAAATAAATTAAAATTAATAAATAAATTAGTAATAGAGTTAAATGATTTATAAATGTTAATTCTATCAATAAAATTGATAAGAGCAACTAGAATTAAATTATTAATTGTTATTGAAACAGAGAAAGCCAAACACAAATTAACTATTTATACAATTAAAGTTCAAAATAGTAATATTGTTGGTGGAGACTAACACTCAGTGGATTGCCTGACCAGCACTGAGAGCAGCAAGACCAGTATTGAGACCAGCATACCGGCATCAATACATGCCTTGCCAACATATGCTGCCTTTTCAGCAGTGATATTACTTTGTAGCCAACAATAACATGAAACATAAACTTGGTGATTACATGGGGATACGAGAATTTTTCTGAGAACTTTAACCAGGAGTTCTCAACAGTGAAGTAGCCGCACATTGCTTTGAACTATTGCTTTGAACCAATCTATCTTGGCAAAAGATGACATAAGCTGCTGGTTGTCACCACATAATTAGCTCTCTGCAAAGGCATACACCTCCAGTGTCTACACCTACATCGTCTGGCAACGTATTACAAAGCGTCATTGAGATGAAGCCTCCAATATTGACAAGACTGCTTTTTTGTCCTGTTTGAGGGACACCATTTCAAACTTTTTTTTAAGCATATCAGACTTCTTTCTTTCAAGCCTCCAGTTTATCAATCCTTCAGGCTTCAATCCCGGACACATAGTAAGCACTACATTTTACTCACCTCTGCTGTTTCCCAGCTTAGGTGCTCTCACTCATGTTTGCTGCCCCACCACAGGTGCATTAGCCTCAAAGCAATTGAAATCACCAGATGGCTTCCAGTTGCTGGTGTTTGCATTTTATTGTTTACACCAGCCACCCCTGTCTTTAATGAAGAGATGAAGAAAGATGCAGTCAAGCCATTCCCTGCAACTGACATTTTTTACGTAATACATTTTCCCATAAGAGCTATGACAGATTCTAATTTTGTGTACTTTTGAGTAGCTATATTATGCACAATATGCCAATCAGAATGCTTATGCAGAAGAACATACGATCATCTTCAGGATTGTTTTGCAGCTTTTGCTTTGAAGAACACATGGTTTTATATCTCAATTTGTCCTCATTACAGACAATTTTCTGTCTGCATTTGGGCTAAGGGCATCAAAATACAAATAACTAAAGTCTTGAGTCAAATAATAAAACAGCATGCTCCTCCATGTGAAGAGCATTTTCTTTCTCACAAAGTGTGGCTCTTTATTCACATCAGTGATTGCTCCACTGCTACCAGCTTGGTTAGTGCTGCTCAACCATTTGCATTAGCCCACTCTGACAATATGCCTCTTTTACTTTTACACAGCCAGCCCTGTCTTTCATGGCATGGCAAATGACGCAAAGTAGCTGGTTCCTACTGCTCCTATACACAAGATGCCATTCAGAATATTATATTTATTTTCTTTTTTATTACTTTTTATTATTTCTTTTTTTTTCTGGTCTAAGTTTTGGCATCACAATACAACTTTCTAACTTCTGGGCACTCCCTTACTTCACGGATTCATGTATTTTAGCTCATTTGTGGAGGCAGTTTTGATGCAGTGGCATAGTGCAGCTGGACTCAATTATCACATGATGCTGACTTTATGTTGACTTTTATGGTAACCCTGTTGTGTGCAACGAGCATGCAGCTTTGGGTTCATGATCCAGAGATATTATTACTGAGATGTTATTACACTACACAATTTAAAAATGGTCAAAATGATGATGAACAATTTAGATTACCCAATTTACCTGTACCACATATCTTTGGACTGTGGGGGAAACCAGAGCACCTAAAAGAAACCCACACGAACACGTGAGAACATGCAAACTCCACACAGAAATGCCAACTGACCTAGCCGAGACTCGAACCAGTGACCTTCTTGCTGTGAGGCAATCGTGCTACATTGTTTACCCATAAGGTTTACATGGTTATAATGCAGCAAGAAATACAACAAGCATTTATAAATTGTTTGGGAAAGCTTTTGCAGCTGGACATTGACTTTACAGTGTATTTTTGTACAATAGTTTGTAATTATAGAGCAATTACAATAAAAAAGATGTTTGAGTCTTATCACAGTGTTAATTTAGGCTGTCCTTGATGGATACACATTAGCCAGTGGGGTAGTGTCTTTTGACTCTCCAGGTGTAAAATATTCATGGCCATTGTCACTCTCATGCATACAGCAGCACTGATCCAAAAACTGACTTTACAAAATGTAAATCATATAAAACATATGTAAGTGTTTTTTTTTACCTAGTTTCCGCTACATTTTTTTCAAAAACACACTAACCCCACATAATTATTATTTATAAATATTTTGTTTCTAAAAACGCAAGCATGTACATTAATCTTTCTCACATTTTATTGTTGCACAGTTTGTGCTGAACACAAAAAACAAAACAAAACAAAAAAAAACACGTTGGCCAATACTGTAATAATTAGCTGAAATAAGTCAGTACTTGTCAAAACATTTTAGGGGCCCCAAAATCACCTCAGCGAATTTATCAGTGTATTACTATTTTGAACAATCTCATGCATCTATGTTTGTAGTTCTTAATTTTTATCCATATCCAACACGTTGTGGGCAGTTTTAATCTTTGAGGGGGCGCATACCTACACTTTTAATGTCAAATTGAAGTTCTTGACTATTTATGACTGCTTGGATATATATAAAAATTGGGATGCAGGTTATAATTTAATATTTGTTTGTTATTTTATCACAGAAAATGAACATAAAACTTGAGGAAATAGTCAAATTTTATTAAGAAATCAGCCTATTGGTTTTATGAAGTTATGTTTTTTTTTGTTGTTGACACTGGCTTGCATGGTTACGGAATCTTTAGAGCTGCGCATCGATTGATTTTCTCTTCAGTGTTTGGACTCTCAGTAGTGATTATTAAACCACACTGAACTGAGCTAAACTGAGCTAAATCTACATTGTAAAAGCGATATACAAATAAAGGTGAATTGAATTAATTTTTTTCCCTCTGGTTACAGCTCACTGCAGAAGTTCATTTTTATGTCAGAAGAAAGTTCCAGGAGACAGAAAAACCTTCCGAGCTGTAGCTGCCAGCAGAGAAGATGAGGAAGAGCCAGAGTGTTTTGGCAGTGACACCAGTTGATGTGAGATATTTTACATTCATTTAAATAACAATGCTAAGCCACCTAATGATCTGAGACATTGAAAGTTAAAAAAATTGTTCAATTCAATAATAGAAGTTACTTTTATGTTGTGATTTATTTCTTCCGCACTCTAATTGGCACAGAAGTTGAAAAATGATTTGCGACGTACAAGTTTTGTCTACATACTACATATACAAAACTTCTATACAATTAGTTTGAAAGCCTGTTCAATTCAATAGGTAATGTGCTCAAGATGTGATTTCTATGCAAATTACATGTTTGTATGATTTAAATAACCCTTAAAATTATATGAGTTAATAACCCAGGATTGAGAACCACTGCCTTACAATACCTGTTTAAATAGCAAAACATGTTGAAAAAAACATTAAAACATTACATTAACAAATTATAAATTAGTCCATAAGATTTCATCAAGGTAGCAGAAAAAAAAGTTGGCAAAGTTTGTTAAACTTCTAAAGTTTGCCAGTATTAAAAAAAAAAAAACAATACTAGTAACTTCTTGGCAGTAGTTATACTGCATGTGTGGCAAGTGAGCTAGGGCTGAGAGCCATAAGGGCATGCGAAGCTGCTGATGTGAGTGCTAATGACTGTCACCTGTGCTCGCCACCTGTCCTAAGTCACTTGGAGGAGATCTGGTTGATCTTAAATGTAAAAGATGAGAGAGGACCAGGCCTGGACACTTGTGTTTGGTTTCGATTTCAATTTGGCGGTGGTCTCCGTGAGTAGCTGCCACCAGTTTTTTGTTTTTTTTTATTAAAATTATTTAAAAGTTCATCGGTTCTCCACCTTCTACTTCCTTATGGCCAGGAATCTTTATTGCAGTCAGTACATAACCGGTGTTTGTGCAGATACATCTCCAAATTCTCCTACAGACATGAGGTGTCAGTCAAAACCACTTCATCAATCCTGTGACATCAGTTCCCACACATCCATCCAACATGTCTAACCAGTGCAGCCGACTGCGTTTGTTCTTTTATTGTTTTTTTTCCAATTACACTGTTAAACTTTGACCTATGAACATAAAAGAGTGCATAGAGCTGAATGTGAGACATGCGTGTTTCACTAAAAGCACTCCAGATGATCCCACAGTGAGTGGTTCCAGTGCAAAATATCCAGAGATGACTGTAATGAAGCGGATGACAAAGGAGGTGACACAGCACCTATGAGACCTGGGAAGAAAAGACAGGTCAGACAAAAGGAGATGGAAAGATAAGGAGAGACAGAGAAAGGGGAGAGCAAAAGAAAGAGCAAAAAAAAATTCTTGGGGTTTGGTTACTCAGTGTCCGGCAATGGCTCCAGCATCTGGTAGAATGCTCCTCTTTTCTCCTCCGCTACACTTTTTGGCAGATGGTAGCAAGCTTCGGCCCCTGGCAGAGGGTGATGACTGCCTCGACCTTTGCTGGGATGGCTCCTGACTCTTACTCTGGGAGTGGTGAGACCCTCGTCCAACGCTCCCTTTCGGTTTACGGGTAATCGATTACTGTGATAATCCCTAGTCTATATGTATTAACACAAATTGCATATATATATATACATACATAGTGCTCAACATACGAGTACACTCCCATATATCTCTGATATAGATAAATAATTTTAATAGGAAGATTTACCATATTATATTTTGTGCATACTCTACATCAGTCAGTATTGCAGCCAAATCTGGAGCTTATCTAACAAAATAACTAATGATAATGGTCCAAAATTTGTACACCCAAATTTATGTTATAGAAAAATATTAACAAAAAAATTAAAAACAGCTAAATTCAAGAGAAACAAAAAAGTATACAAAATCTTATCGACACTTTGTAATTTTTTTACAATTTCACATGAATTTAAGTGTATTATCTTTCTATTTCGAAAGATGTTTGGTAACTACTCATGTTAAGCAGTATGTGTTTATATGATTTAAACACACACACACACACATACACACACATGCACGTGCACACACTCACAAATATATCTGCAACCGAGTCAATGGATGGAACCACACTCCTTTGAATCATCACTGACACCAGAGTACATTTTTTCAACAATTTCTTCAAGCCAGAACTGTTTTGCTTTTTGTGTATTCTGTCACATTTGACAGGCACCTGGGAACAATAGTCAGGTAAAACTATCTCATTTGCGTTGAAGACACATGCAACAAAAACAGCTACAAATTTGTTTGTTAGGTTTTGTGTTCATCAGGTGACTTTCACCATGTGTTCCTTTGTTCTGTTTTCCCGCCACCAGACAGTCTCATGAGTTTCACCTGTGTTTCTCCCCTGTGTGTAATTATTGTCATCATGTTCATGTGTATTTATACCCCTTAGTTTAGTTTAGTCTTTGTCTGGTATTCTTTCTACGTTGATACTTGTTTTCACCCCATGTAATTTCTGTGTTCTTCCATGAGAGTGTTTATTAATAAATTTATCCTTTGACTTTCTGAAGTGAACCCAGGTGTTAGATAATACCAGACCTAAAGAAAAATTTTGTGGCGTGTTTTCCCGTCGTTTTATTTTTATAGTCCTTTTTGCCCCCAGTCTTTTCTTTTTCCTTCCCTTAGCTTACTCATAGATTCCATTTACACCCCTGAGTTCCTCATCCTGATGATAAAGTGGAGGGGAAAGCAGCCTCGAGGACCATTCGTACAGTTTCCTGTTCCTGGCACAACAATCCGGCTGGCCGGATGATGTTCAGCTTCTCCTGGTTTCATGTCTGATCATCGTAGTCTCCCCTGTGTTTGGTCTCCTCCGTTGCTGTTACCATATGCTATTCACCAGTCATCGCCATCAAGCCTCAACATTATCTGTTACTACTGCCATCCTCTGCAATAAACTGTTAATACTCACCATCCTTGCGGGGTCCCTTCTGTGGCTGATACATCCTCAAAAGAAAGTGCACAACTTTGTCTAAAGCAACTGTCTTGACAATTTAGCATTCGTTTATGTCGTCGAAAAGACAAAAATAAAAAAGCATTGTGGCTATACTTTCGTCATTTTAATAGATTCTTTATTTTTACTTCATTTATCGATCTCAGTGTTGTCCAATTTTTTTCAGTATTAAATATGTTCTTTCTATATTTATTAGAAAGACTCTGAATTTAATAAAATTACTTTGTTATTTATTAGAAAGGTAGCTATATTTTCGATTTAAATGTAATTAATTAAATTTATTTAAAATTAAATTTTTTTTACTGCACATTGATGTTGTGCTCCAAACATGTTTTTAAATATGATTAGCAAATTAACTACAGCGTTTTCATTTCTGCAGTTATTTCTTAATTTTTAAGTTTCTAAAAACTCTTTCATATCCTTTGTGTAATGTTCTGTACATTGTGGGTTTAATGTGTTATGAGTTTACAACGTTTACAAATCTTTTTTTTTTTTTTCAAAATAACTTTAAAATTTTAAAAAACTACAGAGAAGATTTGAAAATTTAGATTCAACAATTTAAAATTCTGATTTGGGTACACCACTACAATGTAGAATTTGTCAAATTTCTGTGTAACCTACAGATACATGATTTTGTGTGTCATAGGCATGTGTATTAAATGTTCAGTTTATAGACATGACATGGATAGACAAATTGAGTTTTTTTTTTGTTTTGTGGTAAACAGCGATCCGTTTGACCATGTTGTTTTCTGCATGTGAATTAAAAAAGTATAAACATATAAAATAAAATAAAAATTAATTATTCCTGCACCAAATTGTTGCACTCTTTATTTTGATTCAGTGTCTGAAACTTTTTGCAGCTGGACAATCAGGTCACATCTGTGCTGCAGGCAGTATTTGTGCAGTCAATGTTATTGATGTTGTAAATGTGCAAAAATAGAACAGTAGTTCAATGTACAGTGCCAAACCGTTTGAACTGTGAAAAATCCATGTTATTTTCTGATTACTACACATGACCTTGATCAGAACATATGGTTTACAGTTTAATGTAAATGCAGCAATCACCAGTTATGGGAATAACAGCGCAATAAATAAACAGCGTAACTAATGACAATACTTTTTTATCAATGATCAAATAAATTACTGTTTCACCTGTTACAATGGCAATAAATGACATTACTATAATTGAGAACACTAAAGCGGTTTTAGCACAAGTAGTTTCTGTCTTAGCCATTAAACCTCTCTTTCTCTGAGGTGGGTGCGTACGTATGTGTTTTCAGGCTGGGGCGGGACATATAACCAACCAGTGCTGAAGATTGGTGTGACTGTGAATGTGGTGTAACTGATCATTGGCTTAGATAGAGTACATTTCCATCATTTGCCAATCAGAGTTGTGCTGGCATTCACACACAAGCACTTACAGTTAGTCACACACACCAACAACCAGGAGTCAGACTGATGGCAAATCCAACAACTTTAAAGGTAGCTTTTGTAAACTGGAAAAATAAGTACTATTTTTCCCTATTTTTTAATATTTATATTATAACTTGATGGTTGTCTCTCACATTGTCCCTCAGCAACATTAATAGTGTATAGTGCAGGTTTTAAAATGTTTTGAAGCTTCGACACATTTTCTTGATCGTTTCAGTGTTTAATGAAGCCTCGCTTTGACCACCACTAATGTCACTTGACCCACTTACCTACCAGTCTTTCTACCAAACCTCTGTAGAGCTACATGAAGAAAGGGAATGAATGATTGCACACGTATAGCAACAGACAGTGACTAAGCCAAAATGACAACACAATATAAATAAAGGTGAAGATAATATTTCTAAAAAAAGATGGATGGATGGATGGATGGATGGATGGATCTGAGTTGTGATTGGGAGGTCCGAATCCGATCAAGTACAACAAAGGGCCTAAAAGAGATCTTAGAGGCACCCCATACTGCACTGACCTAACTTGTGAAAGTTGTCAGTTCATATTTAAACTGGTAACGTTCGAGGTTACTAAAGTAACCCTTCGTTCCCCGAGGAGGGGAGCGGAAGCACTAAAAGTGGATTTGATGTTCTAAATCCACGTATGGGAGATTCGGTTCAGAAG